GATGATCAAGAAGAGGTGAAGGAGGCGACCAATGATGTGAAGACAAACAAAGTAAATCTCATTAGACTTCTGGTTTCAGTTTTTTTGTGTATACTAAATACTGATAAGAATTTATGTTCTTGCCATTTAGACGGGACCACTTAGATATTAGACTGAGCAAGGCCAATCGAAGGGAAATTGACACAGCTTATAACTTAATGGACAAGCAATATATGTGGAAACTCTCATCTGGAAAATTCATAGAAGAAGAATTATATAAGCTGGGGAAAAGATTAGAGTTCGAGCAGTTTGTATTCATGCATGTAATTATGTTTGTTTAGGAGCATAGACACAATTGTACTAAATTGTTATTCCCTAGCGCTGTTCATTCATTTATCCTCGATGTTGAAGATGAATTGATTATGGAACATTTTACAGAGACAGAACTTCGAGAGATAGACAACACATCTATTCCAGAAGTACCAGAGCTCTCGAATGAAATTGATGTGTTTCTAAATAAATTCCTTGGGCAAGGTAAGAAATATTTCATTTACCTGTATATGTATATCGCAAATAAGCCACAGGTTCTTTCTCTTTTGTTGTAGACGAACTTAAATGAAATCTGTCAAATAGTAAAAGATAAAGAATCAAGTTTTGGTAATGACTATGACCATGAGAAACACCATGACCTGGATTATATATGTCTTGCTTTGCATTCATTGTAAGTATTCTTTTTATTTTATTTTGTTCTATGATTTTGTTAAAATTTATGTGCCAATGGTGAATTGACTGAAAACTGCCTACAGGGTGAGGGAAATACAAAACGGTAGTATCAAGGACACAAATCTCAAGAATTGGTATAACTGCCTTGTATGGAGTGTAGTATAATCAATTTGTCCACCCAGTTCTTGATGCAGCACTTTGGATATTTGGAAAAATAAACTATATTTAGTAAATTTTATTATATATATATTAATATGTGTGTGTATGTGTGTGTGAAATGTTGCTGATCAATATGTGTATGATCCTTATAGTGGGGAGATTTCTTTATGAAGATTAAAGTCTCAGATCTGTGTAGATGGCATTGGCTACATCAATGACATTACCAATTATCCTCTCATTTGTGCTGAAGGTGCAAAGCCTGGGGCTTCCATGAAAAAGCAGACTGAAGATATTAATAAGAATGCTATTAGCATGGCCCGCCTGTACAATGATATTATCATCTCAGAGGCCAATGCTCGCCATCAACTCTTGCCTGATTTACGAACTTATGGAATGACATCCCACAGAACTGAAGTATCATATATCATTGACACTACTTGATTTCCATGGTATGAATTGTGACTTGAAGTTTCCAATTGAATCATATCTATGATTTTAATATAATTCAATTGTTCTTTTCAGATGTTGTCATGACGTTACACGTGGGAGAGCGATCATGTAACCTCCTTGAGATTTAGCATCTTCCAACAGTGATATCAGCAGCGCCTACTAATGCTAATTCTTCTAAACAGTTAGTGACCTTTTTAACAGGCTTTGAATACTTACGAATGGCTCGTATATGTATCGTATATTAATATGCTAATCTGTAGATATTTATTTAACCTCGAGTATTAGTATCAAATCGACAATTATGATCCGATGGGATTAATTTCAGAAATCTATTACTATCATTTGGGAAAGGTTTTCTAAACTAACGCGTTTGTAGACAATTAAATAAATATCCTGTATAAACTGATAGTATGCAATCCTAGGGGCAAGACTAAGTTCGCAACAGAGAGTCCAGATAGCGGTTTTCGCTACTCTCTGGATTGATGAATTCAATAGAACCACAGGATTTTAACTGACACATGAATGATTTAAAATCACCAGTCAGAGTTTTATTAGAATATTTGAAGTTGACCATTACTATTACTTGCTGCCACAAGACTGGGTTGATATGCCCAAATTTGCATACATGTATGAGGCAGTAATAAAATGGATGGTATGTTTTTGTACATATTTTTGAAGGTCATGTTTGCATTGACCTAATTACAAAATATTTTATCAATAGTAATAGTAATAGCTGTGTGCATGTGCAACCAAGGAAGCCTTAATTAGCAATCGGAAAAAGAGATGCATGACATGCTACAGTGAAGTTCGAATTGCTAAAAAATTACTAATGTAATGATAATTTCATTATATGATATTTTGCATAATAAAAAAAATGCAAGATATATACTACCACTGTGACAAGTAGCATATTGAATGTTTTCTACTAGTGTGCCTCAAAGAGTCAGAAGTGGCACTTGAGATCACTGATGCATAATGTTACAAGAGTAATCACAGAAAGTATACCTGCTGCAGCTTAAAATTTTTGATAAAATGGATCTATGATGTGTGATTCTGTAGAACATTCCCTGTCCATCTGTACTGGCTGTCACACTTAGTACTACCTACCATCTACATTGCATGTGCCATTGTTACTATTACATTGTCAGGCCTATCAAATTTTAGAAATGTGGCTATCTCAAATACTTTAGCTGCATTCCAGTTCTGTGTGTCTGTGATGTTATTGTTTTCAGAGACAAAACATGTATAAAAGTAACAATTTTGCCCATACACAAGTGTCCACTTTGTCTGAAATCACAAGTGACTAGCAAACAAATAATAATAATATGCAAAGGGCACATACCCCAGTATAAGTATATTTTAATATATTATAGATGCTTGAGACAACCTATAACTCTCTATTCTTTTATTTTTCTTTTTTTTCTTGGTTCCTGAATAGTCACCTAACATTTCGATTTTGTAGGATCTTCATTGACAATGACATATTTTTCATGTAACACAATTTGACTAGCCCTTCATATATGGGTAAAGCGAGAGTGCAATGCGAAATCTGAGACTATTCTGTTAGCAGGCCACTAAAGTTACCCTTATATGTTTTAAATACAGCTTGATTCTACCAAGAGTTTATGCAAAGACTGACTGCCTTGGCGGTCAGTAATATATAACGGTTCACATTTCCATGTAAGCTACTCATTGCAGTACTTTGCGAGAACAAGTTGCATTACTAACCATGAAGAGTCATGAAGAAATGTTTTCGTCTACCTCTTACTTTTATTACCTTCATATTATGATAGTTTATTGAGAAGTTGGGACGTAATATACGTGTATGTAATATGCATATTATAAGAGTCTGTTTTATAAAAAACGGCTTCACTAGAAACCCTAAATCAGCAACCAAGAATCATATACTTATAAAACCTACATGCATGTTAAAGGTAACTGTTGTCCATATGTGTGCAAAAAATTGACACGGATTATTAAGTATTATTTTGAATTTTACTATAACGATCTGCTCGATTTTTCGAAAACGCGAAATTAATCTTCATCGCATCGCTAGAAACTCTAAATCAGCAACCAAGAATCCTATGCTTATAAAACATATACCCACATTATCCCCCCTTGTAGTTATGTCCGTAATGAAGTAAAAATCGATACTCATTCATTACTGTATCAATCATCTCCTGATCTGTTATTAATTCCCGAAAAAGCTGTTTATCTTCATCCGTAATTGGGAGGCGGATTTCTTCAGGGCTGAATCCTATATACTTGGAAATCTGATCGCGTAATTCATAAGACATTTTTTGTTACTATGATACATAATAAAAATATATTTAATTTACAGTCATCCCTCATTTGTATCCCCCCCCTATTGTATCCCACCCTCGGATATAACCCATCTTTCACGCTGGACGGATTTCCCCTATTTTAATTCCATATAAATTTCCCTCAGTTGTATCCCACTCAGTTATATCCCTATCCCCAATATCCTGATATCCCAATTTCCCATATCATGTGAAAATCCAATATGATCATGACTCGTTTATATCCCAACCTTACTATACATATTATCCGTGTTACATAAAACATTGTGCTATTTCTATGTATAGTCGAGTCTCCTTAATGTACCACTTCAATCTTTAAATTTATTGGTTAATATACAAATTTGGTCCGACTTTATGCCAAAATTTCCTTAAACACTCGCTTTAAGTAGTACAGTGACTTGGGTTAATATAAATGCATTAGAATGACTAATTTAGGTAATAAGTCATTGGGAAACAATCACTCTATTAAGTAGATTTTCTTCAGCGCGTCGCTTGACATCTAAACTTAGTCCAGAAGATTATATAATCAACAATAATCATAACAATAGTAAGCCGTCGAAGATTTCAACTATATAAGAGAGTATTTCTGTTCAATCTTTACGAAATTTAAATATCGTCTGATTAAATTGATGCCAGAAATTTTGGAAAATTTCTGGAGGCTGAAGGTATATCACAGCAGAAGCAAGTGCATATAGAAGAAGACTCAAGCGAAGAGGAGGAAAAAACTATTTCTATAAAGATAGGAAGAGAAGCGCTTGAGACCGCTAAACGATTTTTAGAACAAAGGGAATTTACGACTGAAGAGGACATAAAATATATACGTGATATGATTAGACATTTAGGCGAGTCTGTAGAAAAATCAAAACGCCAAACTCTGTTAACGGAATATATTAGCCAATAAAATTGCTTGTGTTACTTAACTCAGTTATATCCCTGCTTCAGATATATCCCCAAAAGTCTCCGCCCCAAGGTGGGGATATAAACGAGGGATGACTGTATCTTAATTGAAGCCAATAAAATTTGATGAACGCAACCCCAGGGGAGAGAATTGACTGTACCTTGTCCGTCTTGCTTAATTCTACTGTTGCCCATAAACATAAATAACGCGTTCACCAAGAGATTTCGTATGGAGTCCCTTTTTCTTTGCCATGCGATCACGATTCCATTCATTTTGATCCTATATGATTTTTTAAGCCAGTGGGCGCATTCATAATAATATCGATTGTATCGTTAGGAATTATTCGGTGCGCTTGGAACAAGAGACAGAACTCGGATGTCGCAATTTATATTATCGACACCACACGATGGTTTCTGTATCTTTGTACTAAAATTAACATGTGCAGTTGGCCAAGCAGCAACATTCCAAAGTATGCCGTAGTATTTTTCTCCAATAATTTATGGTTGATACTTGCCCTGCGACTCCATGTGTGTCTCTGAGCTATCGAGAAATAATAAATAAAACGAGTAGTCCGTTATCTGTCCTGGTGATGATGTGCTAGGCAGATATATCTCGGCTATTGCATTGTGGCTACCTAGAAACCATCGATTAAGGTATGTTGTGAATGAGTCAAGGATAATAAATACATGCAATTGAAACTTTTTAATCAAACTAGTGTATAACCCCGTCACTTCGTTGACGGTGTGGTTATTTTATATTTTACATTCATACCTTTATTATATATTATTATTATTATTTATATTACTAATATGGCTATTTATACTCTTTTTATTGTATTCTAATTTCTTGTATTTACGTTTATCTCGAAAAAGAGTTTGCTGAAAACCTAAATTTGAAGGACTCATCTGACCTCAAGGATGAGAACAAAAGAACATAGCCTCAGAAAGTAGGTCCAAAACGACTGTTGATACGAAATTCACTTCAAACTGGTAACAAATAATAATAATAAAGTTGTTGAAGGTGATCTCGAAAAGCTCGCGGAAAGACTAGGGCTCGAAAAATTTACGGAAAATGATTACTACTTACTCTTTTGTGCTTGACGAGCAGTAAATACCCTTTGATTAGCTTGGATTTATGGTTTGTACCAATGATTAAAAGGCTCAAAAATGGTGTTCAGCTGTCATACTAAATTCCATTCGTAAACATTTCCCCAATATCTTTCTACTTACTGAATTTTAACTGTCCATAAGATTCTTATTTCACCAGATTCAAACAAATTTCCGCGAGTCTTTCTGTGACTCGTAAGGTAGAGGGGGTAGTTTGTCGAAGTTAAAGTTCTTACTAAGTGAAAATTTTATTGAACCGTTTATAACTTTTGATATTCAGAGGTAATAAACTAGA